TAGGCATAGAAAGAAACTTCAGGCTTAGTACGGGCTTTTACAATCTAAAAGCCCACCCCCAGTGACACACTTCCTCCAACAAGTTCACACTTCCTAATCCTTCCAATTTTTTCGAATAGTAACACTCCCTGGTGACAAAACATTCAAATATGTGAACCTAGGTTCGATCTTATTCAAAAACCACACTCAGTGCCATCCTGCCTTCATGGAACAATTATACTCATCCTGATAAGAAAACCAGGATTCAACCATCATTTTTTCCCCATTTTCCCCCATTTTTTTGCCCAGTACAGCCATTTTCTCTGATATGGGAATGGAGCCCAATTTGCAACAATCTTTACAAACAAATATTAACAGAAACATATTCCCAGAAGCTTAAACTGCAGGAAGCCTAAACTACAATTATGTTCAAGGTACAGCTATTTGCCTAGAGTTTCTAACATGTCTGCTTACTTTACTACTTGTCACCGAGTGCCATTAGAGGCAGTACTGCTTTAGCTAAACCCTACCTTGTGCAACCGAGCATTTCCTTACATGATTAATGCTAAATCCATTGTAATGGCAATTTATCACTCTCAGTTTTCCTATATCACATCTGTGTCTTGCTTATCTTTTGACACAAGGTTTCGTGTAGCCCCAGGCTGGCTTCCAGATCAACAGCAGTCAGGGGTGATTTTGAACTCCAGGTCTACCTCATTTACTTCCCCAGTGCTGGGCTTGCAGCATGAGCCCCATATCCACAGCCATACTATAATGTAGTATTGCTCACAATGCCCAACATCCATGCAGACCTCCATGGTGGTGGGTCAACCCTGACACTGCTAGCACCTCAGAATGAAAATGGTAGCCAGGGGAGGGGTTCCTATTTATCCAATATGTGTCTAAGTGTTTTAACAGTGTAACAACAATGTCTGCCCTGACTACCTCAACAATGGTGCCCTTATTTTTGGCAGTTTCGAGAAAAATATGGAGATGTGTTTACCTTGTACCTGGGATCAAAGCCGGTGGTCATGTTGTATGGGACAGAGGCCATAAGAGAGGCTCTGGTGGACCAAGCGGAGGCTTTCTCTGGCCGGATAACAATTGCTGTGCTTAAACCTATTTTCATGGACTATGGTAGGACGCTCAAAGTTTGGTACGAAGTGGGATGGAGAGTGGGCACAGACAGAGGAGAATCTGATAGAAGGGTGGGCAAGGGCTGGGGAGGGGAAGGATCCAGGTAGCTTTGAACTTCCTCTGTCCCCCTACATTTTTAGGTGTGATCTTTGCCAATGGGGAACGCTGGAAGGCCCTTCGGCGATTCTCTCTGGCCACCATGAGAGACTTTGGGATGGGAAAGCGGAGTGTTGAGGAGAGGATTCAGGAGGAGGCCCAATGCCTGGTAGAGGAGCTACGGAAATCTCATGGTGAGTCCCAAATAATGTATATAGAGAAAGATGGTGACGCAAGTCATGAGTGCACATCCAAAGAAAGAAAAGAGATATACATGGGCAGAAAAAGAAACACCTGCGTGCGTACACACACACACACACACACACACACACACACACTGGGGAGTGGAAGAGATAGGAGAGAGAAATACAGAAAGATAGGGGAAGAAATGTGACATCCAGAACATGTAAGAACAACTCAGAAATATATATTGAGTCATTTGCATGCTGGCTACTTACCAGCAGGGAAATTCATGCCTGGGTTAATATTATGTGTCATTATGGCACAAATCTGTCCTCCCAATGCTCAGGGGCCGGAGACAGGAGGGTCATACATTGAAAGCTAGTTTGGCTACATCATGAAATCTTGTTTCAAAGAGAAAATGAGATACATGCTTTGGTGCAAGCCCAGAACACATACAGTTTCTTTTCTTATCCTTAATACCACAACCTTGACATGGTGTCACATGCTGTTTGTATTGGTATACTTGAATTTTAGGCAAAAGCTTAGGGGGTTGGTATACTTGACTTTTAGGCAGGAGCTTAGATGGTAATGGTCATCCTTGACTTCATGTGGTATTCAAGGCCATCTTGAATATATTAAACAGTCTCAAAACATGGTGTATGCCCAAGTCAAGTGTTGGAGGTAGGGAACTGTGTTTTACCTTGTGGATGTCTTCTGAATAGGACAATGAGCAAAGAGGCACTATGGGGTGATTTACTTTGTGAGAGTTATAGGCATTTCTGGGTACTTATAGAAACTCCATAACAGGACACACTGTTGACAGAGTCTGATTTTAGCAACTCAATTCTTCAGGCTGGTTTTTGCAATCTTCTAAGATTTCTCAGGCGACATGAGACATAGAGGCCAAAGAGAGTAGAAGGATATCAAGAGTTTAAGAAGACAGAAGGAGAAATAGGTTGACATAGACCAAAAAGCTAGTATGGAGCTTGAGGGATCAAACAGAAGAGAAAACACAGTGGAGCAGGAACGTGGAGAATAGAGAGGGGAAGAAAGTAGGTAGTGTGTGAGAAAAGAGAAAGGAACTG